CATCAGTCATTAGAAAGCTTTGTTGAGCCTTGGAAGGTATTTTAACTTAACAAATGGTTTTATTAAATACTCTTATCCGATGAAAATCATCTTGGTAGCAGACTCACGGCTGGTGTTTATTTTCCACCTCAGTACTCAGTAGCTGACGTGAGGTCTTTGCGCCAACGGTTCATTCCTGGCGGGTAAGGCGCTGTAGGATATCCACCCAATCAGGGTAGGTTGAGCTCCCACCTGCGCTACAACCTCTTAGCTCTATGGAGCGGGGCATCCATGATGTTGGTCGCTGTGCTTCTGTTTATAGCATGGACCGTAAAGAATCCACTCGATTGAGGCGGTATGAAAAGTATTTTGACCGCTAGAGAGACATTCTCATAGCCTCGTCGAATGGCTAAGCACCCTGCTTTGAGTCGAACTAGCCTCAGCTAATCTCAAGTAAACGTGCAGTGGCTGGTTTGCATTGAAGCTGTTGGTGAGTAGAAATCACTGTAGACCCTTGTAGTAAGCACTGTTTCTTCATGTAGGTGGGCTGTTGGTGAAGGTCGGGGACCAGCTGCCCCTCGTATCCATCGCTGAGGTGCCCTGAGGAAAGTCCCCCGCCTCGTCACTGCGGAGGCCTCGATTCCATTTGTTTCAAAAGGAATCCGGAGCTCCATCTTTCCCAGTGTCTGCGTCTCGTCTCTTCTTTCTTCATCTCATTCACTGCTATTACTTCGTTGATTTCTCCTGCAAAGAAGAATACGTAGAATGTCCGACGAACAGATCCTCGCCGCTTCGGCAAAGCACCCTATTGTGCCTAACCATGTCTACAACTACGGCACTGCTGGTTTCCGTATGAAGGCCGACCTTCTCGATGGTGTCTCGTTCCGTGTCGGTCTCCTGTCCGGTCTGCGAAGCCGCAAGCTCAATGGTCAGGCTATTGGTGTCATGATCACTGCCAGTCACAACCCAGCCATCGACAATGGTGTCAAGATCGTTGACCCCATGGGTGAGATGCTTGAGCAGGAGTGGGAGGCCCATGCTACCAAGCTCGTCAACTCTCCTTCTGACCAGGAGCTTCTCGATAACTATAAGGCTCTGGCTTCCAAGCTCAAGATTGACCTGTCTGCTCCCGCCCGCGTCGTCTACGGCCGTGACACCCGTCCCTCCGGCCACTCCCTAGTTGCTGCTCTCGCCGATGCTTTTGAGGCCACAAACACCGAGTACACCGACTACAAGATCCTTACCACACCCCAGCTTCACTACCTAGTCCGTTGTGTCAACACCGAGGGCACTCCCAAGGCTTACGGCAAGGTTAGCGAGCAGGGTTACTACGAGAAGATGTCTGAGGCTTTTACTCGTGCTCTTCGAGGCCGAAAGCCCCAGGGACAGCTCATCGTGGATTGCGCCAACGGTGTTGGAGGCCCTAAGCTGTCAGAGTTCCTCAAGGTCTTGCCTCAAGGAAACATTGACGTCAAGGTTGTCAATGACGATGTCCTCCGTCCCGAGGTTCTCAACCTGGATGTAAGTCTATCCCGAACTCCCCTAACTCAATCACACGAACTGACCATGTTCCCCTCAGTCTGGAGCCGACTTCGTCAAGACCAAGCAGCGAGCTCCCCCTAGCCCCAAGCCTGTTCCCGGCGCTCGATGCTGCTCTCTCGATGGTGATGCCGATCGTCTGATCTACTATTGGATCGATCCCGATACCGGTTTCTTCATGCTCGACGGCGACCGCATTTCTTCGCTCAATGCCTCTTTCATTGGCGACCTTGTTCGCTCTGCTGGCCTTGCTGATGACCTCCGCATCGGTGTTGTTCAGACCGCTTATGCCAACGGTGCCAGCACCAACTACATCGAGAAGCACCTCCAGCTCCCCGTTGTCTTCACTCCCACCGGCGTGAAGCACTTACACCACGCTGCTTGCCAGTTCGACGTTGGTGTTTACTTTGAGGCCAACGGTCACGGTACCGTTGTCTTTTCACAAGAGGCTATCCGCGCGTTCCGTGAGACTGAACCTCAATCTCCCGCTCAGAAGGATGCCCTTGAGACTCTTGCTGCTGTCAGCGATCTCATCAACCAGACTGTCGGTGACGCCATTTCGGACATGCTCATGGTGGAAGTCATTCTCGCTCACAAGGGATGGACTCTTAAGGACTGGGCCATGACCTACAATGACCTCCCCAACCGTCTCGTCCGTGTCGAGGTCGGTGACAAGGATCTCTTCAAGACCACTGATGCCGAGCGTCGCCTCAGCCACCCCGTGGGTGCTCAGGACGAGATCGACCAGTGTGTTAAGAAGTACACCAGCGCCCGCTCCTTTGCTCGTGCTAGTGGTACTGAGAACGCTTGCCGTGTCTATGCCGAGGCTGCCACTCGCTCCGAGGCTGATGAGCTCGCCAACAAGGTTGCCCAGATCGTGAAGCAGTTCGGTTCTTAGAAATACCCCGACTATCGGCCTAAACTGATTGAACGAACCACCTTTATATAAAATAAATCTAAAATCAAAACAGGATGAGACATGCCCAGCACAGGACGTGGGGAAGTGCGTGTCTGAGAAGGAGGGGGAAAAGGAAACGAGAAAAGGTTTCCAAAAAATAGGTTATCAACCCAGCTCAGGATTTAGCCTCGGGACAAGAAGCGATATGCTCAACCCGATTTAACGATGAATGAAAGTTTCTTTCTTACTTTGATTAATCAATGAATGATTTTATCTTGCGGCATATATTTCTTGATACCAGGTGAACAAATGGCAAAGAATCACCGTTGAAGAATCGTTGATAAAATACACCATAATTGAAGCAAAAGATCTAATGACTAGGTAGCTCCGGAGTGCTGTTCTTTGTGGTATCACTCATAACGGGTCGTCAATCAACCACATCATCCCTCGCGGTCATGTTGTTTTTCTTTCTCTTTGTTTATATCTAGCAATGCTTATCCCGTGTAAGATGCAAGAGACGCCATCCGCCTTGTACATATTTCCCAAGTTTCCACAAGTATCTACTCCCCTTACCCCCCCTCAAGGTTTTCTTAAATCCTTGAAGCGAGGTTGTTTTTTTGTATTCGTGTCGTCATTAGCAACAAGTAGGCGTGAGCTTAAGGCCTCTAGCACATGCGGTATTCAAGAGCACCCTTGGCAGAGCGATTAGCATCCGGTGTCTCCAGCTCGTAAGAGATCTTGATGTCAAGATCACGTCGGTTCTTGTTGTTGGGGCGGACGTCGAGGTCAAGCTCAACTGACTCGCCCTGCTGGACGGTGAGGACATCCTCGAGGTAGAAGACGGTCTGCTTCCAATGAGTGTACTTGGTGTGGGGTCCAGTTGAGAAGCGGATGGGCTTGTGGCAGGCGGTGAAGTCAATGTCGAACCATGAGACGAGAGCGTGGATGAAGTCGTCGCGTGTAGCGTTGAGCTTAAACTTTGACTGGAAGGCCAAGTCGGCTGTGGTGCAGGTGTAGAGATCGAGAGTCAGAACGGCGGTGGGCTCGGTAACAGCAGCCTTGACCTCGACGGTGTCGACGAGGGGTTCAGAGAGAGCGGTGGCCTTGAGAGGGGTGTAGTCAAAGCCGTAAACATCGTTCCAGACTGGAAAATATGTCAGTTAAGTGGGTTAGGCCATGGCGCAGAAATTACTCACACTCAATCTTGTCCTCCTTGTAATCGCCATCCTCGATACCGGCAAAGAAAATGGTGGCCTTGTCGGGGAAGATGAGACCGTCCTTGTTAAGGTAGGTGTCACGGGCGTAGAGAACGGTGTCGAGCATGGACTCGTAGAGAAGGAAGTATCCCATCCATTCGGAGATGATGATATCAACCTTGGGGAAGGGAAGCTCGACCTCCTCCATCTTGCCCTGGAGAAGGGTGATCTTGTCGGAGAGGCCGTTGACCTTGACGATCTCACGAGCCTTGAAGATGATGGTGGACATGTCCACACCGATAACATGCTTAGCACCGGCCTTGGCGGCAAACCTGTTTCAAGAACTATTAATTGCTGTTCAATCGATTCTTTCTCGGCCCTCTAAGGTAATTGAGAATGGCGCGCATTGCGCTGTAGAAAGTCGCCTTGCAAGCGCGGGGCAAAACGAGGGGCATTTTTTGGGGGGAGGGTCTCGTTCCGTACGTACATGGAGAGAATGGCGGTACCGCAGCCGACATCGAGAACGACCTTGTCCTTAAAAATGTGCTTGTTCTGCATGATAGCATTCATGTACGATCGTGTGCGAACCTCATCTTTCTGCAGTCATGGCAATAACCTGGTCAGCAAATGCTCAATATTGCAGCTGCAGCGCAAGGGCTGGTGGGGGAGGGGAGCTCATACCAACATCTCTTCGTGGATACCTATTGCAGAGCAAGAAATAATACGTTAGTGACAGGTTCTTCAATATGCAATATAGCTTCAACGAAGAAGTAGACGTGTTTTGTTCGTACCATGGTGATCGTAGCTGTATGAAAAGCGCATTAGTATACAATAACTTGTCTTGTCTGCAGTCGCTCAAACTGACCTCTTGAAATAATGCTGCTCGCTGTGCTCCATGGAGTTCATCTTCTGCTCCGCAATCTCGACGTCCATCTTGTCGCCGCTCATCTTGAAAAGATTATGGAGGATATTTGGGTTTTTTGATAGGAGGGAATGAAGCGTATTGCTGGATGTTGGAGGAGGAAGAAAAAAAGAAGAGAGGTAGTAGCAGTAGTAGTAGCAAAGAGGAAAAAAGAAAGCGTCGCAAAACGGAGCATAGACTACAGATTCGGCGGGCGAGACTGGGGACGGGGAGCCACAGACGAATGCGATTTTGCTAGCTCGGGCAGAAAATAATTTAATCGGCGTCACCGCCCAAACTTTTTTTTTTCTTTTCTGAATAAGGCGGACGAGAGGACCCTTTCTTTTTTTTTCTAGCACCAAAGAGAGCTTACGGTTTAGCCTAGAAGAAGAGAAGAGATGTAGCTGAAAGTTGGTAGCATAGTACAGACCGTGAACGGGGTTGTGTATAACTACGTGTTTCTGGCCAGTTCAACGTTCACATCTCAACCAACGTGGCCGAGTGGTTAAGGCGGCAGACTTAAGTATCTTTACTAGGATTCTGCTACAGTAATGTGCGCGGGTTCGAACCCCGTCGTTGGTAGTTCATTATTTCTTGCTGATTGCTACGACCATTGATATATCTTTCCATCTTGTAAATGTCTTGTCCGTCGCGCTATGTCACTGGCTGCTGGTTGTGACAGTGTTTATAGGGTGTACGCACAGCCTGTATAAGTCATGGCGGGAGTTGTCAAATGTGGCAATTCCGCAGTATACTTTTTGCTCATTACGGTACCTATCTGCCAATAAACCATACACCTAACGCACTTTGCTTTAACTCCTGCTTTGTACCTACCGTCTGTATCGTTCCTTTCGGCATGCCCATTTCCTTGTCCTGTCTTGCCTCTTTCCTCCCATCAATATATGCATGCCGGTTGTCTACATACAGACTTGCTCACACCAGGTCAAGTCTTGCCTCTTCTTGACGTAAAGTTAAAAGTTTAGGTTAAAAGAAAATCTGGTCTAGAAATGTAGGCAAGGCGTTGACACAACTCTGCGAGTAATCGTACTGGCGAAGAGTGTGGATAATCCAAAAGATCATCTACGCCCAGAACATTGCAACACGATGTGGCACCAAGAGCTGTGAATGGAGTGCCGTTGAAAACTTTTGCCCCAAAGTGAAGTTTTAGAGGACGAGAACTGGTTCATACATCAAAAATTATGTCGTTTTGGTGCTTCAGAGCTCGGCGACTGTCATGGTATGGCAGCGAGCCCATTGAAGACATCCGGATACCCCAACGCCGCGCCTGGAGACATTGATCGAAATGTTCAGAGATTGGCAAATACAGCGATGTTCGAGACAAGGTCTATGCTCTGGTTGGAATGGCCAGCAAAGTCCTGCTGGAGAGTTGAATAACCGTTGATGTACAGCCTGGCAATTGTATTATATTGTCGTTCTTCGGACTAAGACATGTAGAGTGAGAATACTCTAATGGGCTTAATTCTTGTCTATGTCCGATCTGCACCCAATACTTGAGCCCCACTTCATGCTCTGGTTGTTCTCGCCGTGAGATAGTACATAGGGGATAGGGATAAGTGACGAGAAAGTCAAGGACATGCGAGACAAGAATGGTGGTGTCAAAAGACAACTGATGGTTGTATGGGTATGAACCAGATTTCATTCACTGAAGATGGACAGAAACCACATACAATATTGCAATCAGCAAGCAACGAGGAAACCATTCTCTTTGCATTCAATATATACGAAATGTCATGAACTTGTCCATGTGCGAATTCATACCAGGAGCAATCGCTGGTTCTTGTATTCATGTCTATCTACGGCCAATGTCAAGTTCTGCTAATAACAGAGCGCGGCCCATAACTCGAGTGAGTCTTCTTCATCACAACTGGGAATCTTCAGTCGACAATCAACCCGTTTTACCAACCATCTACCATCATGGCTTTTCTTTTTCGCGTGGTAACCCAAAAAACGCCCTGGCGCCAATACATGCATTCCAACTTTGACAAACCAACCCTTCCTCTCAACGTTATGCTTGGATGTTGTTGAGCACATTACACCAGGAGGACACTGTTGATGCAGCCCTCGTTCTCCGGGTTGTTGGTCACCTGCGCATAGCGACCCCAGACAACCTTTCCACCAGCGGTGACGAGACCGAGTTCGCTGACGTTGACCTCGATGACGGTACCCTTGGTCAGAACACCCAGTTGAGTGTAGAGAGGGTTCTGAGGGTTCTTCTTGACACTGATGATGGGCAGCTGAACGGTAACACCAAGCTCGGGGTGTGTGACGTTGGCCTTCTTGTAACGGAGACCCATGGGTCGGATGAAGCGCTCGTGCTTGGGGTTGCGTCGAGTAAAGTCGGGTCCGACAAAGGTGGGCTTGGTGACCATGCGCTTCCAGGCCTTCTTCTGGACCTTCTTTCCGGTCTTGACGACGGAGAACATCTCCTCCTCGCTGATACCACGGACCTTGGGCAGAGGGACGGCGAACTTGGCCGCCTTCTCGGCTCGCTTGTTCTTGATGGCGCTGCTGAGGGCCTTGGCAGTCGAGGGGTTTGTACGGTCCAGAAGGTAAGAGGGCATGGGCGTCGTGGGATCCTTCTCGTCCGCAGTCTTGACGTTGCGCTCCTCGTGCGCCTTGATGGTCTTCTTCATTTGGATCTTCTCCTTGTGTCGCTTCTGCTGGTACAGCTTAGCCCGGAGACCGCGCAGGTTCTGAGCATCCTGCGAGGCCTTGTGGCCCTCACGGGCGGTACGCTTGCGAACTCGCTCTTCATGATCGAGACGGCGGCCGTGCAGCTTACGCCATCTTTCCATATACTCGTTCTGAGGCTGCAAGGGAGTTAGCGATTGATTCTTCCATTATATATGTTTCAATGCATACCATGTTGTCGGTATCGCCCAGGTAGGGACTTGATTATTCTGGCGGGGAGTTGATGCTGAAATTTGCCTGGCGATAAAAAAAAAGTGGCGGTTTATCGGGACGCGGCGCTGGTACCAACAAAGGGACCTTTCGGCGCTCGGCACTACTCTCTTCCGGGACGACCCATGAACCAGCGCCTTGAACTTTTTTGAGATAGTATCCAACGACTTCAAGGCCGAAAGCCAAATATTACGTCCAATTGACCAGCAATAGTGCCTACGCCCGAACGGCACTGCGGTCCAGAATGAGCAGGGCACTTTTCCGCTCCATGCTGGAGCTTCGAGCTCCCAGCGCCCGACTCTCAGCCCCCTCATCTCTATTGCCAATCCGAGCACGAGCCTTCAACACCACAGCTCCCATCGTCGAGCCGTTCCCTGAGCGTCACCCCAATAATGCCGCCAATCCTACGGCCCACGAGCCTCGGCCTCTCGCCTTCAAAGTCAGCCATCCTACCCCACCTCCGAAGCCCATGGACGAGTCCGTCAAGAACCTTCTGCCATTCCTTGCGGCTCAACCGGACCACTATATCACCGTTCACGTCCATGGTTTCCCCTACCTTGTCCGCGAGGGCGATCAGGTCCGCCTGCCTTTCCGCATGCCTGGCGTTCAGCCCGGTGATGTGCTGAGACTTAACCGTGCAAGCATCCTCGGTAGCAGAGACTTTACCATGAAGGGCGCTCCGCATATCGACGAGCGGGTTTTTGAGTGCAGGGCTATTGTGGTTGGAACAGAATCTGAGCCCCTGCGAATTAAGATCAAGAAGAAGCGGAGGCAGCGAAGAATGAGACAGGCCAAGAGCAAGCATCGGTACACAATTCTACGGATTGCAGAGCTCAACATCAACAATGTGGAGGATATCGAATGAGATGCGGGATGAACGTATGATGGATGAGAATTCCAACTGAAAAATGTTGATACATATGTACAAAATAGGAAAATGCTTCGAAACGATGTACCATTACCAGCATGAAGCTGGCTGTACAATAATACAGCACATTTACAAAGTCCAAAAAAGAAGTCAAGTTTTTGATGTCGCCAAAAATGATTATATTCAGAACTCGCCGAAATGCGCGGTTCAATCCAGACGCCGTTGACTACCAAGAGCCTTTCCTTATTATGATAAGAATCCCAGCGCTTGGGGTACAAAAGTAGGTATGAAGCTGTGCAGCTAAAGACAAGAATGATACTCCTCAACACCGAGCTAGAAATGCTCTTTCTCTAATCCGTTCAAATTGGTCATAAACTCATTTATCCAGCGAGCAATAGCGCCTTGACAACTCCAACATTATGCATGATTCATCCTTCTGTCACATTCTGCCGGCCATAGCTTTCTTAACACTGGCCCAATAAGCCTGTGGCCAGACGCTCAAACTCTCGGCCTCTGTTGGCATCCGGTCGCGGCACCTTGTCACCACGCTCTGAATGATTCTACCAAGCAGCTCCTCGTCGATGGGGAGGGCCTTGTCGGTGAGCTCGGCAGGGTACAGGAAGGGGTCGGTCTCGTGCAATAACTCCTCACACGTCGGGCGCATATGGTGGTCGCGGTTCAGACAGCGTCTCATGGTTCGAATGAGCGAAGGAGGAACAGACATGCCTCCCATACCGCGGGAAGGGAACTCGATATCGTGCTCCCAGTTAATAATGGCCTGGCACCTTGACATCTGGTTGGCGATGTGACCAAAGGGGGGTAGGCCGTAAACCATCTGGTACAGGATACAGGCCAGAGACCATATATCGCTAGGCTTGCCCAACTTCATCAACTTGGGTCGTCCGGGGGCACGGCCTCCTCGAGGGTTGTTGGAGTCCATAAGCGATTCGGGAGACATGTAGTTGGGTGTTCCGACCTGAGTCTCGCGGTGGACGTTGACAGTCTCGTCCGTTTGAATGGCATTGGCAATGCCGAAGTCGATAAGCTTGAGTTGACCCTTCACAAGCACAAAGTTGGCTGGCTTAAGATCAGAGTGGACAATGTCACACTGATGAACCGCCTGCAGACACTCAAGCATCTCCTTCCAGTAGAATCGAACAAAAACAGGATCGAATTTTGCGGCTTCGGGGTTATACCGCTTTCTCAAAAAGGTATTAAAGTCCAGCTCACCAATCTCCATAAGCTGTGACCGGTCAGTAAGTAATTCGTAGTTTTTGTTAATACAAACATACCAAGGTAAGAACCTGCTTCTCTGTGTTCATCTCACAATCAAACAATTTGATAACCCGCTCCACTTCGCCAAGCTTCTTCAACAGGTCGATTTCGCCAAGATAGCCTCGGATGGTTGAGTCATCCGCATTCTCGAGAGAAACACGCTTGAGAGCAAACATTTTGCCGTTTTCGGCAGCAACTCGGTACACCTTTCCACTGCCACCTCGGCCAAGACAATCAAGCCGGGTGTACGCTACACCATTCACTCGTAGGATGTTTCTTCGCTGCTTTGCTTGTGTAGTCGTAGCAGCGCCTGCAGTAGCGGTCGCTGCCTCAAGGACAGACATCTTTGGAGGAGGTGGGGGAGCTTGACGGAGAGGAGTGTTGCGGGCCATTGAGGCGAGTGGCTTTCGTTCCGGTGATACTGTTCGTACAGGCGCAGGGTCGGCGCTCATAGGTCGTTTAGGCATCTTCTCTAGCAGTACATCAACAGATGGTTTTGTCCTCTTGAGGCTCGCTT